CACAGGTTCATCATCGGTTCCTGCAGGAAAAGAGAGAATCACATAAAAGTCACTTGATAATCGATTTCAATGGCAGCTTCCACATATTTGTTTTGCAAGTTTAAAAATTACTAGAGATGAACGCTATCAACAAGGTCAACTTTCCACTGCATCTCAGAGCGGAAGTAGAAGGCCTTGTAGAAGACCATTATCAGACATCTCATCCAGACTTTTGAAGCATACCTGCATTGCTAAATGCTTCGCGATGAATCTCCTTATGTAAAAAACGCACAACATGGATAAGTTTCTCCACGACCTGTAATTAATATCAGATATTATTAGAGTTTAGAAAGAAAAGTAATTTTCGTTTGCATCTAAATGATATACAGAATTAGAAACACTTATAACCTACCTCTTCAAACATCATGACCCAAAATGATTTTTTCTTCAGACTTCTCAAAAGCCTCCTTCGATTTTTCAACTCTGCTCTTAAGATTGCGAGGCTGTCTGCTCCGCGTGATAAGCAAACAAAGTACAATTAAGTTCCTTTCTTTACGATTGTGTAGCCATTTCATTGGCAAACACAATAATTATATAAACTGAAGAAGACACTATTGGAATCGGAGATGTATTGACTTGGAGTCGGACCACCCACAGGAGCATTTGAGTGGCCACGCATGGCAAATGTAAAGTTACAGAGAAAAACTTAATGGATAATAACAGTAAATTAATTACATTTTGAACAAACTTCGGAAGTAGTATTAATGTAAAATATTATTACGTAAACATGGGCATAGCAAAACTGGCAACAAAAAAGTCTACAGTCGTGCACACGCATGCACACACACAGCACAGGTGAACTGAAAACCTTTGAAGTGAAATCTAATCTTGATTTCTTGATACACTCAATCATCAACTGAAAAAAAAAAAAAATGCAGACAAAATTCACTACATTGTAAGGGAAAAAAAAAATGCAAATACCTCTCTGGCAGGTTTCTGGATTGTCTATTTGCTCTTGAAGCTTACACCGGTACTCTTGTTCAAATTTGTCGAAGGAACACAACTCATGATATAATTCCTGTAACCAAGAAAAGCTTAGTTCTTCCCTCGACAAATTTCCAAAGAATAATATCAGTCCAGCAGTAACTTTGCAGTTAGAGCATTTACTAGCAACTCCAAGGCTTGTTTATTTGTTAAAAAACAGAACCAAATAAGCTAACAAATACACGGAGACTGACGTAGTTACATGGACGCATTCTAAAAAAGTCAAAAGCATGAGTAACACTCTATTTTCAGGCAATACTCTCTCTCTCTCTCTCTCTCTCCATGGAATTTCAGTGATAGTATTCAGTTACTCAATGCGGAAGGTCTACTGAAACGGTGCATAATGGTTCTGAACACAAGAAAGATCTAAATCCAGCATGGAGAAGAGTTAAAACGCTCATGCGGCTTGAAAGCCCTTCAACACAACGAGGACTATGAGGATGCTCAACAACGTTTTCAGCATAATTGTAACAAGAAGACTAAATAGGACTAATTTACAAAAATAATAGACAAGACCTCTCAAAGAGGACTAATTTACAATTATGAAAATCCGAACCCAGACTCATTAACACGCATCCATCATTACGGAAGAACGAGAACAATCCCTGACCTCATTCGAAGGCAAGTCACATATGGATACAACTGCAACTAAAGGCTGCATTCTCTATACGTTTACTTACATGTGTATTTGAAACTAACATCATCAATTGCTGCATTACCACCTCTGCATCTTCCTTCAATAGCTTCTGTCGTGCAACCATAATGTTTGAGAAAGGGCACTGGTTAAGATAGCGATCCAGAAAATGCCACTGAGGGTCTTTACAAAAATTTCCAAACCGCGCTACTTCTCCCGACAGAATTTTGAGCTCTTCTCTGCCAGAATTGTACCAGAACATTATCAATCTCCGACTTCATATACAATTATTCAATATATAAACACCACATGTTAATTAAAAAAAAAAAGTAGCTATAGCTTGTTCTGATTGTTCAGAAAATTATACAAGGAATTTTCAGTTATCAACCTCTTGTCAGCTGCAACAATTCTCAGGAGTTCATCCACATTTCGTGAAACTAAATTCTGGACCCCTTTTGATGGAAGCACAACCTCTTTTAAATGTTTAATGTTATACGTTGACAATGATTGCATTAAATTTGATCCCTTGACAGTTGTGGTTGCAACTTCAAAAGCCAAGATTGAAATTTTAGTCCCTTCTGTTGTCGCCCCAGAGTAAAACCAGTGTTTGTGTTCAGATTTGCCATGCTACTACCAAGGCCATAGATTGCTTCCGCTGCCCTCCCAAGGCCAGAAGTACTAGCCCTGCCCAGCAGTGAGCTCATTTCCGATACCTATAACCGAAAACAAAAGCAAAATACAATTTAACATGTCTATTCAACATCAAAGCAGTACCATTCGTACTATAAATCTGAGATTCTGAATAAGAACAGAAAGAAACCAAGTTCGAAATTCAAGATGATAAGAGCAGTTGTACAGGAGAAATAATTAGTCATGATTATATATAGGCATCCGCATTTTTTTTATAATAATAGGAATTAGTTGTGAGATCCATACCAAATCGAACTTTAACAATTCAAACCGTCTGTTTTTCAAGTTGTATCTTATAGATCATCTTTACAAAATATTAGCAAAATTAAAAATATTTAAGATATCTAATCGGATAATTGAAATTTAATATAGAATGAGTCATCTAATCCCTATTTTTTTTTAAAAAAAATAAGAATCCTTTGCATAAAAAGGGGTGTGTGTGTGTGTGAAGGTTGTGATTTACCTTGGGAACAGCCAGCTGCTTAGGCAAGCAAGGAATCCCATCATTGATATCAAGTTCCTCATCAGGGCCATTGCTGCTGTCATGCTGACTGTTTTAATTTTATGTCAACAGATTCTACTTTGGCCCTCCTTATCACCTTCTCGAGAATCCCCATTATTTGTCCGTCGTCAGTAATCACCCGAGAAGAACACACACTGGATTTCGATTTCGATTGAAGAGTTATGGAAAAAGTAAATATAAGAATGATGACCTGAGAAGATACAAGTCAACCTACAACTCATAATTGAGACCACCTTTCGCTCGCTCATGTCATGATATATTATATTTTACCGCGTTTTTTATGCAATCTGTTCTCACCCAACAATTATTTATACAATAACGGTGAAAACTAAAATTTTAAATCAAATTTGTAAACAAGAATGCTAGGGGATTAAATTTTAAAAAGTAATATTAGAAAAACTGAATTTGTAGATAGAATTTGCAAATTAAATATTTTGTTCCCAATAGGAATGAACACGTTTATTAACATTTAAGTAATAATCTGATAATCAACTTTCATATCACTTAGTTTACAAAATTTTATTTATAAATTTAGTCTCCCTTGTAATACCCAATTTTAAAACCAAATGATGTGGCTCCTGATGATTGAATTGTTACTTAAGTGTTGATTAATGTGTTTATATTTTATGGGTGTCATATCATTTTGTTTCAAATTATTTAAAAAAAAAAAGAAAAGAAAACAATTGGAAGTTTCATAAAAGGGTTTGAGCTAAGTTTATTTTATGGAAGGGCCCAACAAGTTGTTTTTTTATTTATTTAAAATTTGTTTGTACTCATCATGAAATAATATTAATAAATAATATTTTATTAATATACAAAGTTTTAAATATTTTTTCATTAATCTACCTTCTCAGCATGAATTGCAGGATTTGCAGTTCTGTCTTCTATGAACCTCGATAAAACTGAATAACATGGCACTGTCATACTAAACTGACTCCTATAAAATATAAATCTTCTACCACATTGCTCTTGTACAAAACAGACAATCACAACAAAAAATTAGGAGCATTTTTTCATTACCATCATAAATATAGTGTGTACTTATTATATACCTAATCACTTGTTACATGTTATTTTTACTTAATTCTAGTTAATTTTCATATTAAATGTTACATTTTTAATTTTGAAATAAAATTAACTAAACTTAAGTGAATGACACATAACAAATGATTAGTTGTATAGTAAATACACAACATAATTTATAGCATTGAGCAAAAATACTCCCTAAAAAATTGCAGCTTCAAGAATAAAAGATGAAGTTACTAATTTTATACAGTTCGTCATAAAAAATTAACATCCACAACCAATTAGAAAACAACATCTAATATGAGTATTTAATTAAATGTCTTTTAATTTTTGCAGTGTAGTTCGGTTTTTGTGCGGTTTCATAAGGCCAAAGCCGAAATCAAACCGCTTTCCTACATTGCGGCTCGGTTTCAAACCAACAATGTTTCAAAACCACAAAAACTGAACCTTTGGATGCGGTCTGATTTGATTCGTGTTTCGATTTCGATTTCCTATTCTAAGTGCCTACCCCTACTTCTCCTAATGTCAAGACGAAGCTTTTCAATGTATTGGAGGTACCAAAGGAAAGGAGTAGCGCACAAGATTTGCTATGCCAGATAGAATATAATCGTCTTCAACGGTAGTAACAGAAAAAAAAAAAATTAAGCTCTTAAGTGGTAGTAATGATTACCACTCTATTTATCATCGTTGAATGAATTTAAATTTTAAGATTTTTGTCTATCCATTACACAGATCTTGAAATTTAAATTCATCTTCCATTGATAAATAGGATAGTAAGCACCACCATCAAACATTACCATCACTTGATGGTGATGAGTAAAAATATTGACTTTTTTTTCACAACATCTATTTAAACATGCACTTGTTGGCCCCACAATGTATTTTAACTGTTAAAATAAAAAATAAAATTTAAAGACATAGTTGAAAAGTGGATTAAAGCACCAAACTTTTAGTAGATAATAAAACTGCCACTTACATTAGCAAATGATATTTTGAAAAATAGAATTTGCTAAATGCTTTAAGAACCAAAGTCTGAATTGTTTTAATAGGGCATAACAGTGTCAATCCTATCATGTTAATTATTAGTGTATTCTGAGAGAGCAGTGGAGAAGCATGAACTTTGGATTATTAATTGAATATTCTGTACATACTAGCCACTAAGGAAAGTATAAAACCAGCATCCTTTCCATCTACAGAAATTTAACTTACATTGATCAAAATACATTCTCAATTCTCACCCTACATTTTGACATTCAAACCGGCCATGACTTCTCTCGTTTCTCAGCATCCATGCCCGCTTCCATGACATCGCCACCGCCACAACAAAGAGCACACGACAGGGACAAATGCCACAGATGAACTTACAAGACATACATACACAAGAACCACTTCGCCTGTGCATTCAAATACTTCGAATTGTGTCCACCCGATCAATGACATCCAGTGCTTTGCTCCGGTCGAAATCAAAGTCAATGATAGGAACGGAGGATGGCCTCCTGATTGGAAATGGATCCTTCCTACGTTCACTTGTCGGGGAGTGGTTGCTACTCTTGCTCAGCCGGTTATGCTTGCTGAACCTGGTCCTTGAGGTGTCAAATTCTTGACTCTTACTAATCCCCGGTGTCAGTTTTCTCTTACTTACATATCGAAGCATTTCTTGGTCTTCAACTGTTAATATGGGTGATGAGCAGTTGGTTTTGTTCATACACAACTGAATTGCCTTCTGGTTGGGGGAGCAAAGAGGGGATTTAACAGGAGATCTAATTCCACAGTTTCCAACCCTCGTTTGGTTGACGAGATGGTGAAGCCACACCACCAGTTCAAGAATGTAAGACTCGGTTCTATGTTTATCAGCATGGTGCAGTGTCTCAATCCTCAGCAAGTCAGTTTGACCAGCAGGCTTTCGGTTCATCTCGGACCTAAAGAATTACAACTAATAAAATTAAGAAAATATCGGGAAATCACAAGTAAATGGAAGGCAATCTGCAATTAAGAACTCACCCAGTGTTTGCCCATTCGCCAACCCAGCCAAAGCCATGATGAGCTCTACATAAAACCGCATTGCAAAGAGTAATCAGTAAACAAAATTGAAGGAAAATGAGAGATAGTTGTGAAAATAAACATTGTCATAAATGAAGAATGTGGCCACCAAAATGATTGGATAATATGTTAAACCACTCCAGTCAAGGGGGATAAAAGAAAAACAAATGAAGCTTTACTTGGTTGTGTTAGTGGCAATGGGAACTAGCCACCGCAACGTTTTCTCCATTTCAGCTTTAATTTCAGCGATTGTATGCTGCGAAAAGAAAAGGCATTTGAAGATAAGTTATAGATCAGTACATGCATGGGCATACAAATATGAGCTTACTTTGTAGTAGTAAAATACAATGTAGGCGAGTTGTTAATAATTCCACTTGTTAAATAAAACTATAGATACCTCTTCCTTCAACTGAAATGACTGTAGTTTTGAGCGCAAAGCTGATTTCACACCAGGCGGGAGCCCCTGATATAAAGTATCCCGTGTGTTTGAAGGCACAGAACTTGATCGAGACACCTGGTTACATTCAAACATTAACTCAGAAATCATGGCCCAAGTGATCTGATATAAAGCATAAAATTCCCATTTATCAAGCAACATAAACATAACATTTGATTGAAGGGAAGAATGATTATTGTGCTTTAACAGAAAATGGGAAACTTCCGGTCATAGACCAGGGAACTACTATAACCTGCTATTTGCTAGTTATGCTATACACAACTGAAGAAAAGCTAATACACATACATTGTCCGAACATCCTACATTTATGGAATCCAACTGACAGAAATCAGAACCCAATAGTTTACAACTACGCTTGAAATCCCCCAGGCATAGGACTGCTCACTAAAAAAATAGTCTAGAGATAGCAAAAACTTTTAAAAAACAGTACGGAGCGAAACAGACAGAAGGATTTTGACACTTGAGAATAAGAGGTTGCATAACCCCACAGAAATACGTTTCCCAAACTGACCTGGATACAACCCACTCTCACACTCAAAATCGGTTGCTCCACACTAAGATAACCCCCATAATAAACACATAGAAGCCTAAAAAGGTATTGAAACTTAAAACCTACTAGCTTACAGTAAAAAAACTGTATTTTCACCACCGTATTAATTAGTTCACTGACGATACCAAATACTTGTTTATACTGAAGTAAAAGAAAAGAAAAAAATATTATCACAAAGGTTGAAAATTTAGGAAATGAATATAACATCATCAACTCACAAGAAGATCAATTTGAGTGATAATATTTGCATAATGCAAGGCAAGACCAGCAGACCCCAACTTTTTGTGATTGTTCTGAGAACCTTTCACAGGTTTATCAGTATCTGCACGACCACAAAATTCACACAAAGTCACTTAATAATTGAACACTATGATTAACTTCTAAACAATTGTTATGCACAATTGAATATTACAAGAGATAAACAATACATGTACAGATATATTACAAGAGATGTTAGCTTTAATTTGGAGATGTTATCTTTACCAGAGTGGAGTGGTTCCAATACCATACCATATATCAACTACACTTAAATTTGGGAATTGTTATTAGCACTCCAAAATTACAAAGAAAAACACTTGTGATGAGTGCACAATGAGAATTTTGGAGTGCCAATAACAATTCCCTTAAATTTTTATACTAATTCAGCAATGCCAACTTTTTAGCAGTCAGGTGCAAATTTGTTTTGTAAGTATTAAATTTAATCAAAAACAAGAAATAGCCATTATCTTTCTCAGCCTCCTGTCCCACTCCCAACTGTCCAAGCAGACTCCAAGCAAACTTAGAATACCAATATAAAAAATTCCATCCGAACTTTTGACGCATACCTGCATTTCCAAATGCTTCATGAATCTCCATATGTAAGAAATGAACAACATCGACAAGTTTCTCCATGACCTGTAAATAAGAGATATAAGGATAGTTGTAGAACTTCAAGGGAAATTCTATTGGCACAGTGCACCCATGATCATCGTTGAACAACCCAGAACTTAAGCACAAGACATAGAATTCACACATCCTAGAATATTCTCAAAATGTCATAATAAAAAGAACAATCTTTTTATTTCTTCAGAACCAAAAAATTTAAATCAAATAAAAGTAAAGGTCCCCTCCCTATCGCTGGCTTTGTTTGTTTATTTTTTTTCTTTTCTCCAAAAAACCAATTAAATAATTTGTTTTCCTCGAGTGGTTGAGGCTTTAATGTCTTTTTATGACATCCCTTCTAGAAATTTGGAAGAAGAGTACTTTAAAATACATGGGTGCATTCTCTAGCCGCAAATTGAAGCTTCCAAAGTTTTATTATGTGACTAACAAATATATACGATCCACTTTATGTGTGTTACATTCGATCAACAGAAAGTTATTTTCAGTTGCACCTAGGTGAGATACACAAATAGAAATACTGACTTGCTACCTCTTCCAAAATCCGGGACCAAAGTGATTTTTTCTTCAAACTTCTGACATGCTTCTTTTGACTCTTCAACTCTGCTCTCAAGATTGCAAGGCTATCTCCTACACGTGACAAGAATATACAGGCACAATAAACCAAAATTACTTTCAAGCAACTCTAATCATTTCATTGCAAACAAAACAATAAATTGAGGGAAATCAAAATTTCAAAAATATGGAAGGTTTTGAAGGACACATTTAGATGAGGCCAACTGCCGGTATTAAAGGTTTATTGGCTTAGACCAACAATGGAAGAACATTTGAGTTCCCCAGCACGGCATTATAAAGGTACAAACAAAGAAAAAAAATCTGGAAATACCAAAATAGTAACAATTAAAAAATTACATAATGAATGAACTTCAGAACAAGTATTAGCATGGCATCATTATTAGATATGAGAACTGCCGAAACAGACCATGGAAAAATCTACAGTTCCACACACATACAAATATATAGAAAGTATATTGATGTACTCCTTTCTTTATGACACTCAGTCATCAACTAAAAAAAAGACTGGATAAATACAAAACAGAATAAATTTATTAACCTACAAGACCAAAATATAGAGATAAATTTTCATATGACATTGTAAAGGAAATACAAGATGCAATTTACCTCTTTGGGTAGTACTTGAGTTGTCTTCCTCTTGAAGCTTCCGCCGATAATCTTGTTCAAATCTGTCCAAGGCATGTAACTCATGATATAGTTCCTGTAACCAAGAAAAAGGTTTGCTTTCGTTCAGTAAGGTTCTAAGGAACAACATATGCCCAGCAGTTGCAGTAACGTTTTTTAACACCACCAATGCTTGTTTACTAAATTTTAAGTTATCGTTCAGTAAAGTTCTAAGGAACAACATATGCCCAGCAGTTGCAGTAACATTTTTTAACACCACCAATGCTTGTTTAATGATTCTGCAACACTAAAGAGTGCTAAATCCTAAATGCAGAACAGAAAATTTGATTGTCTTGCTTGAAAGCCCTTCAACTGAATAAGGACTACAACAAAGCAAAGCATCGTTTTGAGTAATTAACTGTAATCTTCATATGGATAGATGATTGACCAAATACTTTGTACTTCAAGCAACCAAACCTATTTTACTTAGAATACAGCTGACAAAATATAATAATAAGGGAAGTTATCAACTTTTAATGCTACAGAAACAAAGAAACGAGGAGAAACAGCCTCTTTGATCCATAATATGAAGCATTTTAATTCAGTTTCATTTGATATCCTAGTTATAGAATTCAACCATGTCAGACAAGAAAGCACATAGCTTGAGGAGGGAACCTTATTCAAGATAACTACAAACAATAATGTAAAACTAATCCAATGACATTCTTATGCCAATTATGTTTCCCAGTGGAAAGAGATATTAAAAATATTATTATTTTTCTCTTCAACATGTGCATGCTGTTACAGAAACTTCCAAGGTAAGTCACTAATGGACACAACTGCTACTAGAGGTTGCATTCTCTATATGTGTACTTACAGCTGTATTTAGAACTAACGTCATCAATTGCTGCATCACTGTCTCTGCATCTTCCTTCAATTGCCTCTGTGGTGTAATTTCTGAACCCAACCTAATATTTGGGAGATAGCACAGGTGGCAGTGTCAGAACATCATCTAAGGAGTTAAACAGAAACAGACATGAGGAAAATATCAAATTTCTTGATAGGTTTACTTTTCAAAATAGCGATCCAGATTATGCCACTGAGGATCTTTACAACGATTTCCAAAACGCACTACTTCTCCCGAGAAAACTTTGAGCTCTTCTCTGCCAGAATTTTACCACAAAAATATTAACTCTCCAACCTTCATGTACAATTATTCAAGACATAAACACATGTTAAGAAACAAAAATAGTAAAAGCTTGTTCCGATCATTCCGAAAATTATACAAGGAATTTTCAATTATCAACCTCTTGTCAGCAGCAGCAATTCTCAGGAGTTCATCCATATCTCTTGATATCAAATTCTGTACCCCTTCTGAAGGAAGCACAACCTCTTTTAGATGTTTGATGTTATCCTTAGAAAGGGACTGCATTAAATTTGAACCCTTGACAACTGTGTTTGCGACTTCAAAAGCCAAAATTGAAATTTTATTCCCTTTTGTTGTCACCCCTGAGGTAAAACCACTGCTTGGATTCAAATTTGTCATGCTACTACCAAGGGTGTCCAAAACTTCCACTGCCTTCCCAAGGCCAGCAGTACCAGCCCTGCCCAAAAGGGAGCTTACTTCTGATACCTATAACAAAAGAATAATAAGAATAGGATTTAGATAACGGATAAACTGATATGACATCGATGGTAAATAGTTACAAATAACATTAAAGGGGATCATCCCTATAATTGAGTTGCATCCCCTGAAAAGGATTTTCACATACAAATGGGAACATCTTTCTGTGAAGCTCTTGATCTGTGTATAATGGCCCTCCAATCGGGAAAAGAATTCCTCTGGAGACCGAAACCCACAAAAAATTCCAAATATCTGTTCTATTCCACAAAGCTTCCACCCTCACCCCTTATCTGTCAAAAAAGCCTTCTACTTTTCTGCATTCACACTACCCAAGAGTCAAGACACAGCCTTTGTTCAACACCTCCATAAAACTACAGCCTTTATCCCTTCCCCAAAAGCCTATAATTGTATTCTTCTCGCTAAATAGTGTGGTAGATACTGGAATACCCTAGCTCAAATCAGCTCCTTTATACTTCCTTCCTTACTTTCTAACGATGTGTTCTAAATATTTGTTCAACCAAAAGACACTCTGGAAAAAGCCCTGATAATTCCTGAAAGACTTTCCTGTTTAAAGTATTTCACTTCTCATTTCTATTATGACCAAGTCCAGTCAACCCCCTCAATCCAAACGAAGTGGGAGAAACAGACGGACAAACTTTTCTTCTAGTCCAAGTTTCACACTAGTATTTCTATGTCAAACCTAACTAAAGGTCAACTTAATACGCAATAACTCATAAAACTGGCGTCTTTGAACAGCTTGTCACCCTCATTCTGATGACTACACTTTTAGAGTAACAGTTCCATCCCAACTCGCTACGGAACAATTTGTGGTTCCAAAGGGTATAGAAACCAAAATGTGCATCCAGTAACCATTCATACTGCAATTTCAAATCATTCATTCCAACACAACATAGACAAGAAGTGAATGACTAAAAATAAACATAAAAAAGTCAGGATTACCTTTGCCACAGCCTGCTTAGACTTGGTAGATCTATTTTTGTGTGATAAGGTCCTCGACAAGTGAGGAATCCCGTCGTTGACATCATCTGTAATGAGCCCATAAGGTACCATATTATTTGTCTCCGGCAACATAAATGGGTCTCGCAATTGTTTATCCACGCCTTCACTAACTGGGGATGGAGTCGAATTGGAATTCAATTTCGGGGGCAGACCATGAGATCCATTACTAGGATGGCCATTAGCAGTAGGAATGCCTCCATTGGGGGCATTATTTACATTGACATCATCTACAGTCGATCTCCTCGTCTTGGAGCACATCCCACCCATTGTGTTGATAAGCCACAAAGTATATTTCATACAAAATCCAAAGACAAGAACTTGAAGCCTCTTCAAGAGTTAAAGCCAACCCAACTCCGTACGACTATTGCTATCTATAAAAAGCTAAAGATTGAAGCCACCAGTGGCGAAATCGGAATCATCCTCAACGAGTCATAAAACAAGAATGACCAATTCCAAAGCTGTGAAATAAGTAATACAGATATCCGGGTTCAACATAGATTACCGCAAAACCAATTCTGATCACCTTTGGAGTTCCAATCCATCAACTCTGGATCACAGAAGCTGCAAAATCAAGAAATTAACCATAACCCATCAATCAGAAACATTCATAACCAACATTAAACTACAATGAGGATGGAATCTGCAAAGAACAGAAAAACCCCACATCCAAAAATTACATAAATTGCAATATTTGAGATTTTACAAATAGATACAAAGCAAACCAAGCAATAGTAGTTAGAAATTGTACAAGTTAGAGAGACAGAGATAGAGAGAGATAGAGAGAGAGAGAGAAGAGGGGAGGGGACTTACAGCTGGATCTGTGAGAAGATGGGAGAGATTCTGTACTGCAATACTTTTGAATAGGTTAAGAAACAGAGATGGTGATAGGAATGGAAAGATGGGTTTTTTATTTCCTTCTTTTTTCAGTACATGCAAAGGGAGGTACAGCAAAAAAGAAACTAAGAAGAGCAGAGGGAAAACTAGAAAAACCCAGCAAAAAGCAAAAGAGCAGCAGTGAGTGAGAGGCAGTTTTTGCACTCTCTCAGTCTCTCTCTCTCTCTCCCTCCTTATTCTCTCTAGGTTTGGTCAGTGGAGGCTCTGGGCCTGGCACAAACAGTCTCTTTCTTTCCCGTTTGAGGAGAAAGTGAAGGTGGTCAAAACGCAAAGTCACCAACCGTACCGCTAATCTTTATGTATTTTGCTCAATTTATTTGAACCCAATAAAAATAAAGAAAAACTTATAAAAATGATTTGAAAATTTTGAATTTTAATTATAATGATAAAATAAAGAGTAAAATGAATAGTATCAGATTGACTTTTTAGTGTAAAAATATGATTTTTCGTTAAAGTGAACAGTACTGAAAGTTTTTCGTTAAAGTTTTCTAAAAATAAAACAGCAATTGACCATTTACCATAGTAGTGAAAAAGTATTATGTTTTTACATGACGGCATGAGTTCAAACATCATCGATAAATTATCTAATATTTAACTTACTAACGTTATCGTTCGACTCAAAAAAAAAATTTAACCTGTAATTGTCAACTGAAAAATCATTAGCATTTGACAAAAAAAATGTCTTCAGGAGTAAGCTTCGGTTGGCACTCAACTTTTCCAATAGACGTTTGACCCACCAAAGAAATGGATCTATCTTTATTCAAAATACGGTACAAATGTGATATATAATTTTTAATAAGAGTAACATTTTTGCCGGGTTTATTTAGTTTAACCAAGCTAGTTAGAATGAGGATCCTTTTTGGATTCATTTTGTGAGAATCTTGAGGATTCTCAAATCGTATTCGTTTATCGTACATCGTTCGAAATACTTTTATTTAAAATTAAATATAAATAGTATCTAACGAAAACTGATCATATAATGTACGATAAACAAACATAATTTGAAAATCCTTAGGATCCCCACAAAAAGAATCGTGAAAGGATCCTCATTCGACTAGTCATACACCAATATTGGTAAGTGAATGTGTAACGTTAATTAAAGATTCTATCTTATCAAGTATTATTTTACCTTTTTAGGTGTTGATTGAATATTACATCAAGTGAAACCAAAATGTCTTACAAATATATGGTAAGTCTAACATTATTTTTTTGATGAATTATATTTTACAAATTTGTCATTTTAAATTCTCATTCATAGAAAGTTAGAAATGATACTTATTTGCATGAAATTTAAACTTAGAAATTGGTAGTCCCAAATTTCAAGCTTTTTATTTCACGCGGAAATTCTAAATTTCTATACGTATGAATCTAAACAAGAGAATTAGTGGATGTCAATTTATAAACTATAACTTTTGTTAAAATTCCAAGCTTATTCCCTCATCTAAACATAGTGTAAGAGTAAATCAGCAGTTCACTCCTTGAATATTTCCAAACAATACTTGTCTTGGTAGCCGTATGAACACTGAAAATTCGTTTCAAATAATATAAGGTGAAGGAGAAAGACACACATATGCATCTAAAGAAAATGATATTTTTATTAGGTTTGCAGAATGCGACCAATGAAGGTGTAGTTTTCATGGATTAATAATGCATGTTTTCTTGTAAGTAATGCTATGCTTTGTCTTTGATTTAAATCCAAAACTAGTTGGACGACCTTCTTGTAGATCTATGATGAACTCTTGCCGAGTCAACTGAGTCATGAGATGTAGGGTCCTTTTTAAAATGATGGATGTCAACTTTAGCAATTGGATTCTTTCTTGGGACAAATATTTTTTTACAAGCAATGATAAGGAGATTTCATTAATTAACTAACACAATTACACAAGCTGTTAAATGGGTAAATTCTCTCATGACTAATAATTTGATCTGAGGAAAACTCTTACATGGCCGTCATATGAACAATAATCACTGAGAACACACAAAATTATTATCAAAAGACAAGACCACATCATCTGCTAAAGCGGCACAAATAATTACAACAAAACTAAACTAATTTGAATTATAAAAACTTAAAAAAAAAACGACATAACCATATGCCTACATTCATCTAAGATGAACAATTGATGGTCAAGATTTACTTGGTGATGCCAAGATGGATAAATGATGTGTTGCCTTCGTTTTGGGCGAGACCAAATCAAGTATGTAACTTGGAAGATCAAACAAAGACTTTTGGGCCATTTTGGTCTCAAAAAAGGGTCATATACTTTACTTGGGTCTACGGGGCAGTCGAAAGCAACCTATACTAAAAATCAAAGACAGATAAAATAATTGAATGTATTTGATTGGGAAAAACTTACGCAAGAGAAGTGGTAAGGAGACTTTCTCAATTGGATTGTCTATGGAACATCTGTCACCTCGTAGTTTGATATAATATTTTATAATATTGACACGAAAATTGATGTTAAACTGTGAAATGACAGAGAGTCCATAGAGAGTCTAACTTTTGAGAAAGTCTCTTAGCATTTCTCACTTTAACAATATATATTTGTAACTTATGTTGTAAGAATGTCCTTTACATTGGGAAGAGTAAGGGAGGAAGACTTGTAGCATTGCTACTCTTTCATGGGTGGCTTATAAGTTGATTTTATAGTAGAACCTTAATTTCCTTCATGGTGGAACCTTAACTTTCTTCATACTTCTCGTATTGGCAATTAGTTTACGGTAGAATCTCAACTTCTTTCATGGTATCGTGGAGTCTCAACTTTCTTCATACTCCTCATATTACAAATTGATTTATGGTGAAATCTCAACTTTCTTCGGTTTGAAATTCGCTCGTGTATGAGATAAATTACACATTATTAATTGATCTTAGATTATTGATTAAAATATGTTGACTCCTTTCTAGTTTAATTCCATATGTGTTGGTAAAATGTCTGAATGATAATAATATCTTACCAACTCATTCCTGATAGCAATCTACTAAAAAATTAAAGGAAATTATTTCTATAACGTTATTCGATATGCTAGTATCCATGGTGTCACTTTCTATGCAATATTAATAGACAATTAGACGTGATGCTGAAACTTTTGTCATATTGTAATTATGAATAGCATTTTTTTTTTCATACATGTTGTGTTGCCTGTGTATACAAAGGGCAATCTCACTTTGATACACTAGAACTTCTATGAATTTTATTTTGTTCACAATTTAAACAAAAAAAATAAAAATAAAAGGGGCAACCTTAAGTCAATAAAGTTTTTCACTTTGCAAGAATCGGAAGGAATGTTTATCGTACGCAGTCTTATCCTTATTTTGCAAAAAATCTTATTTTCACAGCTTGAACTAGTGACTTTTCTATCACAAATGAGTAACCTTTTCATTGCATCAAGATTGAGTTAGTTGTGTATAGATTGTGCAAGGCCTTAAAGACTCTGCAAAACTATGGCAATTTTCTGGTCCGCAAAACAAAGAAGCTTACAGCAGCGTACACATAGAGCAAGTTGTATGGACAACATCGGGCGGGATCCTGCTGGAGTCTAAAATTGTGGTCAAGATCTGAACAAGTAGCAGCACCTAAAGTGCATTTACATCCTCAGATTTGGCTAGAATTGCATCTGCATCTGAATTATCAGGCATGCGTTGCAGGCTCGCTCTTGCAAGTGAACCAACATTTGATGTCGCTACGTGCCATATTACACAGCCACTATGCATGCTTGAAATACATATCACATCCAATTAGCAAAATGTTGAGCAGGAATGCCAATGAGCAGTTAATACAACCTTTCGATTATCGGAGTTATACGATTTAGACATACAGAGTCATACTTGTCAGAATCATATGGCAAACACCTTTGAAATGCCTAATCATTACGATCCCTAGTGCTCTTGTGTCTCGTGTTATGAAATAGTGGAACAGATGATTCGGGAAGAGTTGATATGCTCTCAGCAGCACTCTACTTGTTCCACAAGAATAATGACGTACCAGATCGCTGCGAAGTGCACAAATACCGGCAGAGTTGGTCAATAAGCAAGCGGACTAATTCCAGCTTTAATGAGCATTGCCATTATCATTAAGCTACTGCCAAAAGAACAGGAGACAAGGAACGGACAGATGTTATTCAAGATTAACACAGCTATATGTCAGCTGTTCAACAAAAGTGCTATCTGCTGCACAAGTAATCCTAACAATACCGCGGACAATCTTCTTTTAAAACACAAGAATTAAGAACGACAATGAGCATACCTATTTTGAGTTCATTTCGCTATTCAAATCTGACATGAGCTCTTCCAATTCATCAACTATGGCAGAATAACAGAAAATATATTGCTCCTAATAAATCACAAGTTCGAGAGAGTTAGAACAATTGTTTTAGCAAAGTTGGCACACCTAGTGACAGAAAACAGTAATCTAAAATATTATTATTTACAACAAAACAAACCAGTATTCTGAAATATCATTGACATTTGCTATCAAATATATGAATTAAAAATTTCCAATAAGATCTAAATGTTATAATTCTGACTCTCTCTAGATCTTGCTCTTTGATGTATCTGGCAATTGACTAAACTTGGAAAATTAGAGAACTAGAAACAAACAAGATTTATATTGGTTCGGCAGAACTTTTGCCTACATTCAGCTGTGATTTCCCCAAGTAGAGAAAGCATGGCTTCTTTGATTAATAATAGAGTTCAGCTGTGATTTCCCTGAGTAGAGAAACCACGGCTTCTTTGATTAATAATAGAGTTGCCGTACTTTTGCACAACCCTAGAACTAATCACCCTTTATCCCTCTCAGTTGTCTCTGGCTTTTCCCTATGTTTCCCTAGCCCTTCTGCACCCTATTTATAAATATAGGGTGTGGTAGCATCTGCACTACGATTATTTTACTCTCTTCAGTTTTGTCTGCAATTTAGTCCAAGGGGAGTTTCCAATTTGCATTACTGCAAGATAGGAACTGGGTAATTCATATAATTATCAAATACCTACTTGGCATCTAGTTAAGTTTTCGACAGTGTGTTCTATTCTACTCTCAAAGCTGCCAAAAATAATAATAATAATTGCATGCAGTGAATGGCGCGACGAAATGTAATTGGTATTTGTTAGGCAGTTCTGGTTTAAGCCTTAAAAAGAATAATTAACAGTGGATATTTAGACAAATAAGGAAGACGTTACCAGTGTCTGGACCATTCCAATTCGCTGAGACCTAAATGTGGTTATTGTATCAACAAGATTTAAAGCAGACATGTCCCCAGCAAGAATTCTTTGTACTGCATTATGAATTGTGCAGTATGTTCCAGTTCTCCCAATACCTGCACTGAGTAAGATAGTGCAGGTGTCAGTAAAACATGCACATATAAATTACCAAGCATAACCCGGACATGAAAGTCATAAAAGTGAGTTTAACCTGCAATGCACCACAATTGGGCCAAGGTTTGGTGGTACTTGATATATTCTTTTCAAGATTTCACGGACCACAAATGTGTTCTTTGGAACTCCATGGTCAGGCCATTCAGGATACTGAAAATGCAAAACAGACATGGGTGGTTCTTCGGACTGCAGCATAACAATAAACAAATAGAATGTGAGGAAATACCACTCCAATCTATGCACAATGGTGGTCATAATTCCAACAAACCATTCGAATAAAATATGAGGGAATACAAAGTCCAATCTTTTCATAAAACATTTGAACAAGAAAAAGGCACATTTAAAGGAATATGGACCAGAACCCAAAAATTGCGTTTTATTTTCTTTTTCTAATGTTCAAATGGCGATTTTGGGACCAAAATGTGAAGCAATGGACAGGCATATTAAAAAATAACTTCTAACGGGGGAAACAACAAATAGAACCTCAAAACCGAACTTAAGACAACTAAACACCATATAAATATCAAATAACAGAACCAAGGCCCAGAATAAGTGCTTTTTCAACATTCAGAATTTCAGATCCAGCAAATATTGGAATCATATTACCATGAATGACTCCAAAAACAGGTAAACTCACACAAAACAAAATAAAAACCCCACAACAAAAGACATAAACAAAGATGCACACTATCGATTATCAAGAATGCACGTCATGGGGTTATGTAGCATGCTCCAAGACATCTGTGCCTCAAGGTGATGCAACAGAAACGCCAGAGTATTTGGCATATGCCTCACACCTTTATGCTGAAGGATATGCTTCCGCCTCCAGGGGTATCGTGGCATCGAATTTGAATTACATATAACAGAAACCCAATTCCTCGATCATTCCCGGCCTAACAGCATTCTCCTTCTTTGTGTTCCCTCATTAATGGCTATCTACTGTTTTTGGCAAGAATTTTCCTTTGATGTGGCCAGAAAACAAAGGAGATAGGAACAATGTTCAACGAAGAAGATTATAGTACAGAAACCCTAACTGTCCTACAGCCATCGTCATGACTCACGCATAAACTTCAACTCAACCAAGTCAACTAAAGGTCTTGTTCAGAAACAAAGTTTGGGATTGCCAACAAACTATGGAAAAGGAAAACGCCTCATAGCTCCAAAGTCGTTCCTAATCCGTAAAACGTGCATCAAAACAGTCAAAACAGAACTATTTCATCTTGAGAGTGAAATAATATAGAAAATCTGTTCATAGACCAGTCTATTTGGGAGACCGCTATTAGCGCATTGCTCAAGATCCCAATTCACGCAATACCTATTAACATTAGATTGACTCTTTGACTAACTCTTCAATGAAGCTTAACAGACAATGAGTCTTAAATGACATTTTGCCATTTGATTACCTCCAACCAAATGAAACCCTCATTACTATTCAGAAATGACTGCATTATTATATTCCTGATGTACCAAAATGCTCCCCAAGTAATCAAACTTTTAAAAGACCCTAGCAAAATCTATCGCTCCTGTCCCCAAATTCTATTAAAACAAATAGGATAACTGATATAGCATGAGTCTTAATTATGTTCTTTAAATTGGCTTAACAACCATTTGTATCCTGGACAAGAATGAAAATCACGTGATGCCTTGCCTCTTTGTAGTTAACCTCCAAAAGGCGCAACACTAATGAAGTGTCAGTAGTTCTTAGCCACTTGGTGCTTATACATATGTTACCGAATTCCCTAGGGCCATCTTCAGCCTGAAAATAATCTCCACATTTAACCATCTGCGCATACATGGGAAAAAGGTTAAGAAATCAGGAGAAAATAATACTTGTAAATTTATTTGTTCGTGTAATTTCAAAATGAAGTTGTCACTCAAAACCCATAAGCATGAGAGGGCAAACTAACTCTAGTAGCATTATTTTGTTAAGAAGAATATATCATATGGATTAACAAATAAGTAGGTAGCATCTCTCAAAAAAGGTCTGTACAATGTAGAACAAGCTTCTTATTGCATTTTTTCATGACAATCAAAGCCTCTTTAACTGTATATCTTCCGATGAGATGCCTGACAAAAATTACGTGCAACTCAAGACAGGAAAGTACCGTGTAACAGTCAACTAAGCGAGTAAGCATGATAACCACCGGGCAGCGTTGCTCAAGTACCATCTCCCAGAAATCCTCATATGTGTGCGGAAGTGGACCTTGTGTTGCTATAAACCGAGAAATGCTTTTGGAGGCACTAGTCTACAATTAACAGATTACTAAGTAGTCATTAATGTGTTACTAATATCATTTCAGATCACAGTTCTCTCTTTCGGAAACATGAATGCAAATACCGCGATTAAGCTGGCGTTGATGTAGCCCCTCGCAGAAGGTCTGTAATCCTTACAGGAGTTGAGAACAACCCTATTTTTGTCAACTGAATCCAACAACAAAAACTCAAATCAAATTATCAACATTGTAAATTGTGTAAAAATTTAAAGAGAGCCCAGATTGAGGCATACATGGTACGACATCAGTGTATCGGTTTTTGCTGGAATTGACACTGTCAAGAGCCACAGTGCAGTTCCTCTTCATCTCAGCTAATGTGATCCTCTTGGCCTAATAAGCATTCATGGCAGATGTTAATTATTAATTTTTTGAGAGAAATTAAGTAAATCACGAGAAAAGCAAAGACCTGTAGCTGAGCGAACTCCTGGTTGATATGGTCAGGCATCTGGAGCTTTTCTTTGAAGAGCTTGAGAGCCTGAGAGCAGTACTTGTACTGATCGGGGGTGAGGGCGAGTTTCGGAGGCGGAGAATCGGCCGAGACTTTCAAGGAAGGGAGGGGTTGGGCTGCGGCGGAAGAGGCGGTGGCGGCCATCGCTGTCGATCTCCGGTGGCTGCGGGAGCGCCCGGAACTGGAAGTGACGTTCCCCAGTTTTTGGGGTTTGGGTTTGGGTAGTACAGAATTTGATCGGGTAATTTTCTTGGAATTGCAGTATTCTGTCCACCGTTGCGATTTGGTTGAAATCATTCAGAGGGCGTTGGTTAGGTTCGATATATTTGTGGGTACACCCCGACCCGAATATTTACCTGGATACCGAAATCAAGGGTATGCAACTAATACGTGTAAAAGGTACGAGTAAATCAAAACTTCAAACCAACTTTATGAACAATGTGATCTTGCTCTTTCCACTTTTAGTTAAGCTTTTAAATATGAAAAGTGGACAAGAGCATTCGATGAAGAGATTGTGTGAAAAATCATACGTTACAAGGGAAATATGTGATTGGATTAGAATGGGTCAACAGAGAAGATGGCTCGGCACAAGGCACCACTGGTGCAAATCGTTTGGTTCAATTCGGTTTGGTTTTAAGTGATATTGATCAAAATCAAATTTAATTAAACCATAAGTGCTAGTTGGTTGGATCATGGTTTTTATTTTATTTTTAATGTCACATCAAATCAAACTAAAACGCACCAACCCTTAATAATAAGGACAGTGATGTGTCACACTACTACACAGTACAATGTGGGGTTCATGTTGTACCAGTAGTTGTTTTTCTATGTCCAAGAGATTTTTTAGTGTGCTATAAACATGAGCAAAACATCATATGTCATTGTACAATTGGAGCAAAATTTTCTTTAAGGTGTTCCTTCTCATTGTATGAGGACATGTGCTATTATCTCCTGTGTTTCCGGCACACTAATGAAATTCATGTTGGTTTTAATTGCTTTTTGTATAATTTTTGTAATCTTGTGGCAATTTTTGACATGAATCTGATGTTGGTTAGATTTTGGGTTGATATGTATAAATTATAATTTGAAATGGTGGAAGAACAAATTGAGAAGAAATGTATTAGCCACTTGTAATTTTGATAAAAGTTCATGAAAGAAGTCCACATAAATCTTAAGAAATCTATAAAAGAAATCCAAACAAATCCATAGAAATTTATCATAAAAATCCATATAAATATACCAAAATCTATATAGACTTATAGAATCTATTAAAATCGTTTAAAAGCCTGTCACTTAAAAAATATTTAAAATCCAAATTATCTTCAACCTAAAAAACAGTGCAATTCGAAAGAAATGAAAAAAATTAAGTGCAGTATCACAAAACCCTCCTTAAACCCTCACCAAACGGAAGAGCGAGGAACCAAATGTCTCCAATATACGTCGCCGTCCGCCGCTCTCTCCCAAAATCACATCCTCAGTCCTCCCACCACCGCCACACCCTCCACAGAACCTTCTTCGTCGACGCCACCACCACAAAATGGGTCCGAGACCGAGGCCTCGACCACGCCGTCGAGAGGGAGAAGAACCTCAGGCCACTGATCAACATCAAGAACTTCATCAAATCAGAGCCGTCCAAGTCCCTCCCCATTTCCATCATCGCTCAAAACAGAGAATCTCTCATGATACCCACCCGCTCCATCGAATTCATCCGCAAATACCCTTCGATTTTCGAGGAATTTCTCCCCGGCGGCGTTGCAGTCCACCCCCATGTCCGGCTCACTGCCCAAGTGCTCGATCTCGACACTGAAGAAGAGCTCATGTACCAGAGTGAGAGCTACAAGCAGGACGTCGCTGACCGGCTTTTGAAGCTCCTAATGCTGGTAAGAACCAATAAACTGCCCCTCAATGTGATTGATCGCTTGAAATGGGATCTGGGGCTTCCTCATGATTTTGAGAGAACCTTAGTCCCTGAGTATCCGGACTATTTTAATGTCGTAGCTCGCAAAAGTTCGGCTTCTGGGTCCGAAAGTTTGCGGGATTTGGAGTTGGTGTATTGGAAAAATGAATTCGCAAGTTCAGTTATACAGAAGAAAGCTTTAGCTATGGAGAAGAAGGCTTCTGCTAGGAAGAAGAAGGCAATGAGTGGGGATTCTGCTTCAAAGGAGGAAAATCAAATTGTTTTTCCTATGGAGTTTTCGAGAGGTTTTGAGGTGGATAAGAAGTTCAAGAAGTGGATTGATGAGTGGCAGAAGTTGGCTTATGTATCTCCATATGAAAATGCAGCTCATCTTTCTTCAAAGAGTGACGAATCAGATAAGTGGGCGGTCGCGGTTCTGCACGAGCTTCTGCATATTTTGGTTCCGAAGAAGACGGACAGGGAGAATATCCTGTGTCTTGGAGAACATTTGGGTCTTCGGTCGAGGTTTAAGCAAGCATTACACAATCACCCAGGTATATTTTATTTGTCAAACAAGATAGGAACTTATACTGTTGTTTTGAGAGAGGGGTATAAGAGGGGTGTGATTGTTGAAGATCATCCATTAACAAATATGAGAAGCCAGTATATTCACCTTATGAACACGGTAAAGGAAGATAGTAAAACGATCAACGTGCCAGGTAAACGAACTCAAGAAAACAAGAAGGTAATTCATGCTAAAGGAAACGATGAAGAGGAAGAGCATGATGAAACTGAGGACCAGCAGGAAGGGGAGTTGTGTGATTCATCTGATGATGAAGTTGAGCCTGATGATGTTGACGATGATAGTGATGAAGAAGATGAAGATCAGAGTGAGACAAACGTTGAACAAAATGCTATCAATAACAGAGGACGGAGAGGTAGGAAGTCTAATTTTGATGGGAAAGCACCTTTCAAACATGCTGAAAGAGGAAGGTTGGACAGCAGAAGAGCTAGGAAATCTGATTATGATATGAAAGAGCCTTCCAGAAATGCTGAAAGAGGAAGGTCAGATGGAAGAAGAGCTAGGAACTCTGATTTTGATGGGACAGCACCTTTCAGAAATTCTGAAAGAGGAAGGTCGGATGGAAGAAGAGCTAGGAAGTCGGATTTTGATGGCACAGCACCTTCCAGAAATGCTGAAAGAGGAAGGTCGGATGGAAGAAGACCAAGAAGATCTGATTTTGATGTGAAAGAACCTTCCAGAAACTCCGAAAGGGGTAGGGATGGTAGACAACACCCTGGTAAGAGCGGAGATGGGGTCTATTTGGAAACTTCTAGAGGAACACAAACTCATTTGAGGCATGATAATGTAAGAGGAAGATTCAATTTATCTCGAAGCAAGGGGAGGTCATTACCGGCAAAGAACACTAGTGGTTAGAGAAGATTCAGCTAATTTTTCTGCGACGACATTTTGATAGGTTCGTATCAAGTTCTAAATCTTCCTTGTTACGAGCTTCGAAATTTATAATTACCTTGACCTGCTTAATGATTTTGTGATTGGTTATAACTTTGCACTTGGAAGCACATGAAGACTAGAGGAATAGCTAATGGATAATAACTTAATGGTTTTAATTATATATATTGATTGTGCGTAGAAGAAAATGGCTAAAAGTAATTGAGAAAAAGATTAGTGACATAAAACATTGTCGCTTAGTACAAAATTTGGTTAGGGAAAGAGTGTAAACTCTTCAAAATATTGATCAATATCTCTAACTCTGTTAGCTTTGATGCTGTGGTTGGAACTCTGCAATGGAGTACTTCCATGTTGCTGACAGTAAGAGTTAAAAGTTCTTTGGGAGCTTGGCATGACTAGACCACATACGCTTTGTTGATCGAAAATTACATTATCATTTGTTGGATCTTTGGATTTTCCATCATAAATAAATGAACTTGTATCTATTAAAGTTGAACAAAAGAAAAGGAAGAGGCATGATAAATGTCTTCAAGCAAGGAACTTGCAAATTAGTTTCATCTTTATATTTTGTTTTCCTTTTTCATTTGCCATACAGGATGAAGTTTCATCAAAATCCAAAAGGCCTTTTTACATATTTCCCAGCACAAGCATTGCATTCCTAGTGTTCCCACTATGCATGCCTGTATTTTAGCTCTCCTTTTGATGAGACAACGGGTTCACAACTTGTGCATCTATTGGGCATATAGTAGGATGGCTTTCCAACTTTTATACCTCTCTTAATGAGTTCCCTTTTTTCTGGCTAGTTATTTCTGTTTTCTTGTTTATCGTTTTATTCCCCTTCATTTCTTAAGATCCAGTTGTACTATCGTTGTAAAAGTTGATATTCATAATTTCATACGGGAAAGTGTTTTCCCCAAAACATTTTTATTGAGGAAAACCTTGATCCTAAAATTCCTCCTCAACAATTTAAAAGTACATGCAAAGTAAACTGTGGTCAAATAGTTTTTACAGTTTGATGATGGAGAAAGTAGAGGGTATATTGTAGAGTGGAAAAATTTCAAGAGGTGGAAGTTTATTCTCGATACCAGCAGTTTTAAGTATCTTGCCGATTTATTATCTTCCATATTCCAAGGAAAGGGGCATGTGAGCTGGAATATTGAATGAGAAATATTTTGTGGGGAAGGCCGTATCCGTAGTAAAGGTAATGCAGAATGGACTAGGGTTGTTTTTATCTAGGGCTGCTACTTATTCTGTTTTTATTTTTGTTAGTTTACTCTTTACCTTTTAGCTCCCAATTTTTTATCATGTTTAGTGTCCTGTTTCGAGAAAGATGAGGTCCTTATAAATACTTATGTTCTTATTCAGGAAGACAGACTCAGATGTTTGAATAAACAGATTTTTCTCCCTGAGTATCTTCTTTCTGTGTCTTCCCTTCTATCTCAATCCTCACTCCTCAGGGCATGTTTCCATACCCAAAACCAATAGGACCCACCTATTCATTCCTCTAGTTAGTAAACACACGAATAGGAATGGTATCCATTCCTTGCAGATTCATTCCTTATAAGCAAACATACCCTAATTTCTGTTACAGATTATCAGTTTTTTTTTCCATTCTTCTCATGTAGTCTACCTTTTTCTCCTGCTCATCTATTTCACTTTTCTTGAACCCTACTTGCGCTTCCCTTCGAAATCTACCCCAGTTGCCATAGTCTTGTTACTGGTTTAGAGAGAGACATTTCCCAATGCTATAGACCATTTTCTTCTTCAGGTTATGGGGTTATGGGGAAAGGTTATGTTTGGGAGAAAAGTTGCTTAATCACCTTTATTTGTTTAGTGTAGTCATTTATATAGATCTCCACCTTTCATGCCATGCCTATTGCTATATTGTCAATCTGCTAGTTTCTTCCTTTGAGCTTGAGTTTGGCTTTCAAAGAAACATAAATGAATCTGCAATTGGGGAACTCACTCCTCTGCTGTCTTTGTAAGAGAATGCCTGAATAGTATCAGATAGCAGTTAGAATCTTCTGGGGTTTTGTTTGTGCAAATCATATTTTAGAGTCACGTGACAGTTCTCTTTCCACTTTCCAACCCCGTCCTTTGATTTGGAAGGCTAGGGTAGTTCCTGAGGTATGAATTCTGGCTCGGGAAATTTGTCATGGTAGGGGTCAAAAATGCAGATTGTTTCTCTTCACTTCCTTATAATATTAAAGTTGTGGCTGAGGCTGGTTAGAGAAGTTAAGTTCGAGTAAGTGCTTCGAAGATATATATTACGAAATTATAATACAGCATAAGCATATAATCCATAAAAATTTTGAGTAGTAGTTGTCATTGAAGGGAAATGCGTAAAGAGTTTCATTTGCTATTTCTTGTCTTATTAGTTGGTGCACTGAAAAGTACATGCTTGTTATATTTTCTAGGAATCGCGAAGGACATGGGTTTGGTTCTGTCAGTGTGACTATATGGTGGTGAGCGGTGACTTCAGTTTGCCGGCAGAAATTGTTCTAAGCAGGAGACTTTCTGCCCTCTAATTGGTTGTGTTCTGAACAAAGCATCGTTCCTTTCCTACATTTCAGCTTGTTTGCAGTTGTGTTAGCTGATCATTCTTCTTGCATGCGAAAGTACAGCAGCAAGCTATGTAGCCACATTGCTGGCTGTTTTTGCACGTTAGCTATTCACCAAATACCTGGGAAATGACAAATCTTGGAAGGCTTTCTTATGTAGCTTGGTTTACATTAGTTATTGTGTTGTGCTCAAATTAAGATTACTTGATTGACAAACTTGTTCGTAAATTCTCTGTTTAACATCCTTACACAATATAGTAGAATTAAAAAGAGCGAATAGTCTTGTTGATTTTGGGATAAAATATCATTTTCGTACTTGTAAAATATGGGATTCATACCCTCAACAACTTACCAAAGCGATATATTATTGCCACCCGAATCAATTGAACCGCGTTATGAAATACACTTCATGTGCTAGGGGGCGGGAGCAATTGAACTCGAGATTTTGGGTACAAAGGTAAATGCTGATATTTCTTGACCCGTTGAGCTAGAAACCCCTTGCACATTCGTATTCGGTTACAATACTTACATGTAATTAATACAATATGATGATTGTATTACATCCATTCACATAAATTATATCTCAATGTAAGATTGTGAGTGTACTAATATATTGTAGACAATCCCATCTACTTCTAAATTTATGTATTACCTGAAGTCACCCAAGAAAGTTCCCCCAAAACACCATAAGTAATTGATTGGGGTGATTTTCAGTAGGATTGGATCAGAAACAAGCATTCGAATGCCAGTCCAAAAAGGTTTCGGAACCAAATATTAGTTCTAACATCTAGAAATAAAAATATTAGTTTCAATTTCTGAATTTTGGATTAGAGGAATTTATCAAAAATTTCGAATCTCTTACGTTTTGCAAGACTTTGAAAAAACTGTAAACTTTTTATGTATCCAGCATTCAAATTTTTTTTTTTTTTTTTTTGAATTTTCATGATATTTGTAGACCGCTATGTGCGTATTGTGGAGCAAAAAAATAATCAAGAAAAATATGAAAGTGACACGTGGATTGTTGGGTGAAAAAGATAAAATTACCCTCGAGGTGCACGGAACTCCTACGCGCGAGTAACGGACAATCACAATTCAATCAAAGTCAAAATTGATCAAAATAGGTATTTATTCAAAACCTATTTCATCCATCCTCATCAAATCCTCCTCACAAGGTAACCTTCAATTATTCATTCAAAATAGAATTAATTACCTAAATTAATTGATTAATATCCTAATTAATTAATTAATTTTCTAATTAATTTCCTAATTGATTGTAAGATATTATTTTGACATAATATCTTGCAATTACACCAAAAAACCACTATAAGTGGCCGGACCCCTTTTCTCCAAATGGGGGCCAACCACACCCCTATAAGACTATCTCCAACCAAAGGGTCTAGAAGGCCTAAAATAGTCCGAAAATCGTCTCCAATTGAGGGTCAGACCAAATGGCTCGTGGGCCCCACTGGACAAAAAAGGGCCAATTGGCCCCGGGCCGGGCCAGAATTCAAATTGCAACGGCTAGCTAGCTGACATCAGCTAGCCGTTATTTTTTAATTTTTTTTTACATTTTTTTTTTCACAAAATTCTTTTATATATATTTTTTCCTATAACTTCCTAAGCCTTTAAACAACATTAAACAATATGAAATAACATTAAATAATATTAAACAACATAAAAAAAAAACATTTAACAACATGAAACTTAAACAACATTTTTAAAAACATTTAACAACATAAAACTTAAATGCCTATTCGATTCTTCTTTTGGCCCAAAGATGTGCAACAAGAACCTGTTGTAGGTACTTGTTTGTGGCATAGGAAAAGAGTCTTGATTCACACGCTCGAAGAAGACTCTCGCATTCAAGGTTTCTAATTTTTTTGTTCATTCATAGATTTTTCGTACGTTCTCATTCCTAGAATTTTGTATACAATTTTTTTTTTTGAATAAACGTAAAAGAAAAGTACAATGACAAGAAATTCGGAAACCATGACAAACGGAACTTCCTACGTTCAAGGATTTAGATCACGACGATCCGTGAGGCTCAACGCGACGGCAAATGGAGTGGCACCACACCTACGGGGCACCACCGTGGCAGCCACCATGGTAGTAACCACGGCAGCGACCCTCGGCGAGCCCACTGCCTATGGTGTACCACATTATTTCTCCACGAATTTGACATTTCCCAACTTAAATTTTGCGCCCAGAGTTTACCACATTTCCACTACCCAAGGGACGCATTTCGTCCAAGCTTTTCCAACCTAAATGGAGAACAACACTTGTCTCGACAAGTTATAGAGTTAACGAGCGCCCTCGCACAATAGATGACCTTGGTGAATTAATTCTTGCAATGCACCAATATGTAACGAGCGCCCTCCACCAGCGTCTCGGCAAGCAGCCACTTGACTAGCCACAAACTAAGCGTTTTAGCAGTGTAGACTCCTGACTGGATCCCCGAGATAGCGTATACTCTTGTCTTAGCGCGCAGAGGAGCGTGCACTCTCGACTAGGCCCACGGACGAGCATACATTCACGATTGGGGCCACACTCCGATAATCAACATAAGTAGCCTTCCAGGCGAAACGTTTATTCCCGGCTAGGCTCACAAAGAGCATCTTCCACCTCATATAGGAGTAGGCAACATGACGAACGGAGAGAAGCAGTCACTCAAACCAGCTCAAGTTCAACTAGCAGTTTACGAGAAATTTGCTTGCCTTCTAAGAACATACCACATGCATCGCAACCGCGACATAGACGAGCCGAATACATGGAAGAGCAGCTAAGACTAGCAGGTCACGACCTAAAGCAGCCGAGAGCTCCTCTACCCCAACAAAGGTAAATTCAGGAAGATATAGATAGGCTCTTAAACAGTGTTCTAAAAAATGCCCTAGGCGGCTGCCTAAGCGGCGCCTTGGAACCGAGGCGATTTTGTGCAAAACGACTAGACAAATTGGGACGGCTCTAGGCGGCTGGGTGGTTTTTTTTTTTTTTTTTTTTTTTTTTTGTGAAATTTGTTTAAAGTCTAAGTTCTAATTATACGTTGAAATTTTGTTAATTTTATAGAATAGTTGTGTTGTGTATCAACTTAAATTTCGGGATGCTAAAGATAAGTAGCTTACATTACTAAATTCCCTTATTTTCCTCCTATTTTCCATTTTATGTTGTTTTTAAATTGTGAACTTGTTGTACATGTGTCATTCTACAATACTCCTGAATATGGTTATATGGCATAATGCTTAATGTGCTTTTAAATTTTGGACTTGTTGGATACTCTTTTTGCATTTTATCATTCTTTTATTATCTTACCATGGATTTCCATACAAGTATAATTTTTTGTAAGTATCAATATGCACTTATTTACAAGATATACCAGAAATTTACCTAAATCCGCCTAGGCGCTAGGCACTAGCCCGCCGCCCAACTAGCGCCTATTGTTTTTTAGAACCTTGCTTTTAAATGAGCAATTGCGAGTCATGACCAACATAAGCATGTAATCTTTCACAGACGAGATTAAGCAGGCAGAGCCTTCACACAAGTTCAGCATGCCGCATTTCACATCCTTCAAAAGGGATAGAGACTAGGAGAGACACCTAAAGCACTACTGAAGTGCAATGATCTTCTATCGGAACAACGACGCTCTTATGTGCAAGATATTTTCCACCACTCTACAAGGCGAGGCGCAAGATTAGTTCCACACTTTGCCGCCATAATCCATTCGAAGTTTTGACGAACTTTCTTTGGTTTTCACTAAAGAATATTCATCTTATCACTCGATCAAGAAGAAGTCTGACCATTTGATCAACGTCAAGAAGAACCCAAAGGAATCGCTTCGCGACTATATGAAGAAGTTCAAAGTAGAGAAGCCAAAGATAATCGATGCAACGACTCGATAGCTAGTGCAACATTCCAAAAAGGATTCTCAATAGACCACCCGCTGTTCAGAGAATTGATCATGAAAGAATATCTAACTCTGGCAGACTTTTTTGTTTTGGCAGAAAATCATGCACTTTGGGATGAGGCTCGCCGTTGCACATTCAAAGCAAATCCGAGCGATCTTGAATATGAAGTCCCACACTACTTTGAATGAGATTTAAGGTCTGACTGGACGAGCAGGCGTATCTGAAGCAACAATAAGCTCTACCCTCGTACGAGAAGAGTTGGGGGCCCAATTACCTATATTCCGCAGTTCAAAAGCTCTATTGGATGCGGAAACTAGCTACCAGAAATTCAAATGCTAACTTTGGCGACAATTGTTACAACTTGGAAGCTCAATTTATACCTTCAGACGCACGCAGTTATCCTTATAATGCACTATTCCGCCCAATCTAGACGTGCGATGATAAAGATGCAGATATTGATGGTGCAAAGTTTTTGACGAACACAACAATTCAGCCCAAAAGGCACGTTAAGGGTAGACGAACACTAGAAGGGCAATCGGAAGCATGTTTTGTCCTCGTCGCCCCATAAGATTCTACATAGGAGCAACATATATCCACAATTGAGCACCATCTCCTGCTGCGCATCACACGGCCCCAGCCGACCTTTGCTCCATAATTCGGCTATAGATCGGCCCGATACCCTACAGTTGAGCATCTTCTGCTACGTGTAACATGGCTCCAACTCCACGGCACCTTACCGAGCCTTCATGCCTAGCCTAGGCGATGCAATAGAGCGACCCAATAATGTTTTGGAGGCAGCCGAGCACACCCTAGCTAAGACTGTTTCACCTGATGAAGATTTTTTGCATTTGCACATCGATGACGCATCCAACTACAAGGGCTCGGGAGCAGGCGTGGCCCTTGTCTTCCTAGACAGTTCGATGCTTGAGCATGCATCACTCTAAGCTTCAAAGCATACAACAATAAAGCAGAGTATGAAGCCCTACTAGCAGGCCTTCGAATAGAAAAAGACTTGGAGGTGAAAAAGCTTACAATTCATTTTGATTCCCAGCTAATCACCAGCCAGATTACTGGGGAGTACACGGAAAACCATCCAAAGATGGTGCAATACTTAGAGAAAGTACACAAGTAACTTGAGGCATTTCAGACTTACAACCTCACTTAAGTTCAACGGGCAGACAACGCATACAAAGATTCACTAGTGGGCCTAGGCTTCGCCCTCGACCACCAACTCAAACGCTCTATCCAGGTGGAGTGTCTAGACATGCCAAGCATAGAGGTGAAGTCGACAGCTGAAGTGTCACAGGTTAGTACAACTCCAAACTGACAAATACCTATTATAGACTACCTAATCAATGGCATACTCCCCACGGAAAGGTTGGAGTTTAGAAAGCTCCAAATAAAGGCAGTACACTA